CCTGACCTGTCCTTAAGATTCCTCCTTAATAGCAACGTCGTTGAGTTAGCGAGACGTTTGTGAAACGTGGAAACTTAGCGAGGCTTTCGTGAAGCACTCTAAATATAAGGATATTCTAAAACCCCTCTTTAACCCATCACTAACTTAACGAGAGCTTTGTGAAACGGGCCCCTGGTTGCTATAGGGGTTCGGGCGAAATCAATACTGCAGCTGCCTCCGGTCTCCGTATGTAATGCTTGCTTGCGACGGCCGTCGATCGGATCCGCGTGCGGTCCGTTGCAGCGTGATAGCATATGGTAGCAATATTTTGCTGCCTCGATATGTGAATCGGCGTTTTTCTGTGTCGTTCCTGCTTCTTCCATAGCCAGGTCGTACAATTGTGAATGTTCTGGCTCTATAATGCGCTATTTGCAGCTGCCTATCACGTACTGTCCCTCTGCATTTCCATACATTTTGCTCGTATATATATGGCGAATCTCTGCATATCGAATGTCACAATCAACTGCGGGATCTGCCAAGCATCTCAATGTTTATTTCTTCTTTCTTCCTCCTCTCTTCATCTCTTCTTTTCTTCTCTTCTTCCTCCTTCTTTATCCTCTTCTTCTTCCTTCTTCTTCATCCTCTTCTTCCTCCTTCTTCTTCATCATCGTTACAGCAGAGAAATTGTAGGCTCATCTCCTGCAGCTCAGTCAAACAGCAGTGATGCGTATATCGGCAGCACCCCTTGTTGTGTTTCGAATCCAGGGGGCCGTTGTCAGAAACAAAATTAGTCGCAACATTAGTCTTACCATTAACTTCCACTCGTAAATCGTTGACAAAAACATCGTAATGTTATGAGAACGAAAAATCCTCGCAAATATTCGCTTAACATTACGAGAGCCCAGACCCTCTCGTAACTTTAATATTAAGTTGAAAATAACACATTTACACTACGAATTACAATTATAGTAATATTATATTTTATAATAATGAATAAAATTTGTGTTTTGCTTTAAAAACACGTCAAAATCATTAATTATCTACCGCTAATAAAACAAAACAATACATTTACAAATGGCGTATGGCATTTGTTCTCTTGTTTTTTGATGTTTACCATGCTTGCCACAACTCTCGCGTCTCGCGTTACAGTGTGAGAATTTGTCTTGTTGTGCAGAATAAATTCATGACCACGTCATTTTTCATCAAATATTATTTATATGTGGTTAGCCATCATAATATGCATAAATTACTGTAATGTACAATAAATGTGTATGAATTTGAATTTTGTGATCGATTCTCATTCAATCAGCAGCCTTGTGATGAAGTTCCTGTTATCATAAGTTTTCTAATAGCTGCGATTTGTTTCTGTCAACGCTAGTCTCGCAACATGAGCATTAATCGTAAGTGTTATCGTAGCATTAACTTTAGCATTAACTTTACGATGTTTCTGACAACGGCCCCCTGGTCGTCGGCAATCAATGTAGTCGCTGGATAAATTTGGTTGCCAGACAACTGTGCGCTTATAGATGATTGCTATATGCGCCNTTTTTGATGTTTACCATGCTTGCCACAACTCTCGCGTCTCGCGTTACAGTGTGAGAATTTGTCTTGTTGTGCAGAATAAATTCATGACCACGTCATTTTTCATCAAATATTATTTATATGTGGTTAGCCATCATAATATGCATAAATTACTGTAATGTACAATAAATGTTTATGAATTTGAATTTTGTGATCGATTCTAATTCAATCAGCAGCCTTGTGATGAAGTTCCTGTTATCGTAAGTTTTCTAATAGCTGCGATTTGTTTCTGTCAACGCTAGTCTCGCAACGTGAGCATTAATCGTAAGTGTTATCGTAGCATTAACTTTAGCATTAACTTTACGATGTTTCTGACAACGGCCCCCTGGTCGTCGGCAATCAATGTAGTCGCTGGATAAATTTGGTTGCCAGACAACTGTGCGCTTATAGATGATTGCTATATGCGCCGTAAAATGCGTGAATCACAATAAGTAGAAGGTAGAATTGGTAATCGTTTACAACTGCCGTTTCACTGTATATTCTATACTTACAAAACACGTACAATTCACACAGGGTAAACTAAAGCACTACACTTTCACACTACACATATAATCTAGCAACAGAAGAGTGTGAACATCATCGTTGTCTATAGCTTATTGTCTTCCTTACACGTTCTATTTGTCTCATTGTCTCATCATTGTCTCATTGTTTCATTCTCTTATTGTTTTACTCTGTCCCATATCACAATGTCAACAAGCAGCAAAATCCATAATAATCCATTCCTATTGATTCAACAGCAATTTTGATTTTATTTCATTCTTTTCATTTTCATTATTAATCGAGCACGCTACAATCACAAAGAACGTGTGATGATGAAATGATGATTAGATTAGGATATACGTTAATAAATTACAATTCTCACTTGGTTAACACAACGCAAAATCTTTTACAACAAGTAGAATTAATATGAGGAAGGAAGCGTGCGTACATTCTCTCAGTATTTGTACAGCTAGTAAAAATAATATTAGGAAGAAAACGTGCGTACACTCTCTCAGTATTTGTACAGCTAGTAGAATTAATATTAGGAAAGAACCGTGCTGACTTTCTCTCAGTATTTGTACAACTAGTAGAATTAATATTAGGAAAGAACCGTGCTGACTTTCTCTCAGTATTTGTACAGTCATTGTAGAATTAATATTAGGAAAAGAACACGCGTACCCTCACTTAGTATATATGTGAAACTTGTAACATGAGTTATAAGTGATATGATATATTGATAATCTATGATCAAAGATATCTATATATGAGAGAATCTAATATGAAAAACGTGCGGCGGACACTCTTTCAGTATTTGTTTGAATATCGCGTGACATCTCGCTAATCCGATTTTATTTCGCTTTCTCTCTCTTTCGGAACAGCCGGGACGCCGGACCTGCTTCCGTTTCCGGAAGAAGGCGACGGGAACATGTACACGCTGTCGGAAGCCAACATGAAGCTTCCTGCGTTCGAGCAGGAACCGGAAGACGCGTTCATCGTCCGGTATGCTCCCGTGACGCTGCGCTGCAAGGCCGCTCCCGCCAGCCAGGTCTACTTCCGGTGAGTCTACATCGTCTGCCGCGTGCGCTTCCTGTCTCCGCAGAATTACACAGCTGTGGGGAAGAATCGGGAAAAATTCAATGTTATTTTAATGTCATTCAATTTTATTTCGATTCAATGTTATTTTAGTGAAGGTGAATATCTTCCCGCTGAATGTGTCCTGATATCTTTTCCAGCTGCTCTCTCGCTCTCTCTCTCTCTCGAGAGAAGAGGAGAGAGGAGGGAGAGACTGAGAGGAGAGAAGAAGGAGGGAGAAGAGAGCAGGGAGGAGAGAGAAGAGAGAGAGAGAGAGAGAGAAAACAGAGAAAGGAGAGAGAGAGAGCGCGAAAGAAAGAGGAGAGAGAGAAGAGAAAGATGAGAGGGGAGAGGAGAGAGAGGACGAGAGAGGACGACGAGAGAGGGAGAGAGAGAGAGACGAGACGAGAAGAGGAGAAAGAGAGAGAGAGAGAGATGAGAGAACAGGAGAGAGAGACGAGAGAGGCGAGCGAAGAAGAGAGAGGAGAGAGACGGAGCAGAGACGAGAC